TCATGAGGTGAAATAACCAAAACTTAAAATCCTGGAACTGTCTAAATGCATGAGTAAATTTTTCGTCATCTAGTCGTCAGAGCTGTTTGGTGCAACCTCCATTTGTTTTCTCCTCTTGATTCTTTTTCCATCCAAGCACCTTATTTTCATCTCTTTTTTTTGCATTTCTTCCAGCTCGCCTCTGATCTGAATGATATCATGGCTTCTCCTCAACATCAACATCTGCTGTTTCACAACAGCGAAGTAAGCTGCGACTCAAGCGGCGATGGTGCTGTGTCTGTGCGGATCAGCGGCACCAAGCCGCACAAACAGCAGCGTGGGAGTCTGGGCGCCAGCGCCATGTGCAGCATCATCGGGGGCTCCAAACATTGCAAGTACAGCATCTCCTCCAGCTGTAGCTCAGGCGAAACTGCCATCCGCAAAGCAGTGGTCAAAGGCCTCCGGACTCAAAGGAAGATGCCGCAGCTGTTTGAGAGGTCGGTTGGACACTTCTGGAACCCCAAGTTTGACTCCAACATTCTGGAGGAAGCCTGCCGCGAGCGTTGCTTCCCTCAGACGCAAAGACGTTTCCGCTGTGTGTTGTTGTACTTGGTGGCAGCCAGCCTCCTCTGGGGGCTGTTCTTCATCGCTAATGCTAATCGATGTGAACGGACTGCCTTCTTATTGCCCACGGCCTCCTTCCTACTCCTTTGTTCTGTCCTGTTTGTCTTCACGTTCACCCGGTTCTACGTCCACTGCTACAATCAAGCCTCACTGTTGCTCATCGTGGTGACATTTGCCCTCACTCTTGCACCTCAGATCCAGACTCCAGGATTTAGTGACTTTAATGTTCCTCCTTTGAAGGATGAAGAGGACACAGGCAACTTCAATGGCACTGAGGATAAAAACCTGACGTCTGAAGTTGCCCACAGTGGAGGTCCATTAGCCCCTTGTTTGTCCCCAGTTGGCACCTTCTCTCTAGGCATGGAGGTGCTTTCGTTGCTCTACAGTTTCCTCCACGTCCGTTTGTACGCGTCGCTCCTGCTCGGCCTGCTCTACTCAGTGCTTTTTGAGACGCTTGGCTGGATGCACTTGATTCAAGGCAATGGTTGGAGAAACTCCACCGAGGAACATTTGGAAACGCTCTACTGGCTGATCCCTGGAAGAGCCATTTTGCATCTCTGCGCCCACGTCATTGGCATCCACCTTTTTAT